GTCTTTTTTCAATCCTAATCCAATCTGCTCAAGATAAATAAATGTTTTCAAATATTATTTTCATTGCCATCATTACTTTTTGAATGTCTGTTTACACCAGGCATTACTTGCTTGACACCTACCTGTCAAAGTAAATGTGATTATTTCTACTTAAAATAAACCAAAGTTCAAGGAAGCCAAGAATTTTTCCTTGTGCTTGGAAATAGTACGTGGACAGTTTATTATTTTAACTCTGGTATTTCTGACCCAGGAACCTGTGCCTTTTCCATTCTGCCAAGCTCCCCCTCTTCCACCAAAACTTTTGGATCTCTGTCACCCACAGAAGTTGTCAAACAACAACATCTACCCTGAGCCCATCTCACATGTCACAGTACTCTGTATTTCTCAACACATTCTGCCCATTCTTATTTCTGAGTATTTAACAAAGTACACATGTGCCACATTGTTTTCCTTACTCTTAGTGAAATCCTATCACTTTGAATTGTTAGGCCCCAGGGCAATGATTATTCCTCTTTAGAAAAGCTTGCTTTGATTATTACCAGCTAGTTACCAACCCTTTAATTGCCTCCCCTCCATCTCTTACACTCAATTGCTACAACTTGACTTTACTGTTAGTTCAATTAGTCCTAAAATAGGATTGCCATACAAATATTTACATATTGATTTCTATTTACAGTGACCTTTGTTTTTATTTTGGAGAATGAGTACAGAGGAAAAATGTATCTCTTAGTATGTCTGTGAAGTTCACATCAGAAAATGATCTTTAGCTACTCAGCTCCATGTTGTTGGAGCCAAGATGAAAAAGTCAAGTTTACAACCCTCAGCCCAGCCTCAGTGTAAGCCTTCCTTCATAAGCCCCTTTCCAACCAAGTATGGATTCAGAAGATCATCACTGAAAATATTCAACCAACTAAATCAGAGCCTATGAGAATGAAAGTAACAATCTTTTTACCTGAAAGAAAGTTTATGGAACACTACATCCTAGACTTTATAGCAGGCTTCAAATGCTTATTTGCCCAAAGATACAAGAGTTTTCTAAAGGCCAATATGTGAAATTCATGATTATACAATATTGTAGAAAATAATATTACACATAAATAAAATTGTCAAAAACTCAAAGCCTTCCTGATATTAAACTGAAATTACAACTTTACACATTTTAAGCATCTTGGTTGAAAATAATTTAGGAAAGTAGTGCTCACTATCTTCTTAAACAGAGTATTACCTATAGGATGTATTTGCTTGCCTTCATAACTCAGGTCATCATTTTTAGTATGAATTTCTGCTAGCGTTTATAATAAAATATTAAGAGTTGAAGTTGCTGAGACTTTATTAGGATTGACTCCCCTTAATACAATGTGATTCTAGATTGTTATTCTTTTTAGAATATTTGCTTCTTTGCTGTCATTCATTGCCACTTTTCATTTGCTCATCTCAAATTTCGTATGTGAATTTTGACCTGCTATAGATTGATACATCAAGTAAACATTCCTGTTACAATTTTGCTTAAAATAATAATAAATAGGTATTTAATAAGGAATTGTGTAGTCTTTATAAAAGAACTTTAGTGTATAATTTCCTTATATTTATGCTGTATGTTTAGAGACATTTCAGCTTATTTCCTGGATTTTTTCCTGGGTATCAGAGAATTCATATTGTTGAGGTGAGTGTGGCCTTGTAAGCCACAGTAGCCTGGGGAGGCTGTGAAGAGGCAGCAATTAAAACTCTACCTACTCAGTGTAGTTGGACTATCAGACTGGGAACGACTCAGTGGTGAGTACTGAGAATTAGTGTGCATCATAGCTCAGAGCACTATAGCCGTACTGTGCCTCACGTCTGTTCTAGGCCATTTTTTAAGGTCATACAGCCATTTAAATTCATTTTCTCATGATCACTGATCACTTCCCAATTTAAAAAATTTAAGAATATTGGTCTTAAAGTGCTCTGCCCTTTCTAGTATTTGAAAGTTTGTTTGTTCATACTCATGATTCCCGAAAGAAAAATTTAGTCTCAGAACAAACTAAATTTATTATGTCTAAATTTATTAAATTTAAATTTAATAATGCATGTATTATTATGCATGCATGCCATATTATAGTTTTTACCACCCTGTTCATTCCAGTGTCCATAAAACTCCTCATCCCATGGAGTTTGAATATTAAGTGTAGCTGTTACTACTCCATCAAGCATGAGGCCAACTAGACTGTAATACACAGCTGCTGGAGGATGCACTTGGATTCTGCTTTTTACTTTCTGCTTATTTGGATTGGTTGCTCTGGTCATCTCATCATTGTAACTTCTTTATTTATGATGTATAAAAGTAAAAGCGTATCAGTCATTTGTGGTATATTTTTTATTTGCTAATACCTTTAAATAACTCCATTTGTGTCCTTTATGTCCTCTGTTTTCATGTGGTATACTCCCTGTTGGATTCTAATCATTTCATGCTTGAGGTCATGACTTTTATTTTTTTCTGGGCTTCTCCATTGCCACCTCTACCATGTTTCTTGGTGGAACTTACATCTACCTTCATGGATGAGCTGGCAATAAAATATTCCTATGCTTGATAGTAACTGAAAGGAGAAAACCCAATGAGAGAACAGGAGTCAGCCATCAAACAGAAACTTTCAGCCTATCGACTGAGCCTAAGTAAACAAGCAGGGAATCATTAAATAGAAAGGAACTGGGATTTATTTCCTTAGCCCTCTATAGCCTACTCTCTTTCTTCTCAACTGAGATCTTCAAGGACAGATTCGTGCAATGTTTTTGATATCTAAAGTAGCTACCACTGCACTTAGCAAATAATGCTCAGTAGTTTTTAGGCATCAAAAAGAATGAACCTGCTCTGTAGAGGAGGTGGTATTCTTCCTATTTTTCTTTGGCCCTCTTCTGTGAGACTTTGCTTAATCTGTTTGGTCTAAAGCAATCCCACAGCTCAGAGAAGACCCAGTTGCATATATGTACCTTTGCTTTACTTTAATGTTCTTAAAATAATAGCTGCTTCCACTTGTTTTTTCCATTAGTCCAGTACCTGCTGAACTGGGTACCTGCTCTTTACAGCAGTGAACAAAACATCATCCATTCTCATAGGCTTACTCTACATTCAGTGCCTTTTGCCCTATTTGCGTTATCTCATTTAATGCTTACAACCCCTCTGGCAGTTGTTCAGCTGGCAACAAAATATGCCTCAACTGGAAAATGACATTTAAGGATTCAAGGCCTAATTAAATTTCCTAGGATCTCACAGCTAGTTAGTAGAAACCTGGGATCAAACTCAAGTTTAACTTTCACTGAAGTTTATGCTCTTAATTACTAGATTATACCACTTCCAGAGCATGAATAAAGTGCAAATGAGGTAAATCAGAATCTGAACTGTTACAGTTAAGAACCCAGTTCTGTGGACCTGGGAATATTACCAACAACATAGAACATATCCAACCCCCCCAAATTAAACCTTACTCATTGTCTCACCAGGAATGATTTGATTGAATCTTCTAAACAACTCAGAGAGATATCCTAAATTGTTCACAGTCCACATTCATTTTCATTTGTCCACCATCTGTGCAGAAAAGACAGCATATAAATCACATCAGAGTGCTGTGGACAGTTCTGTTTTATAAATGAAATAATTCATGTCAGTTTTTATTCCAGATTAACTAGGAGTCCTGGTTTGATCCCCAGCCCTAGAAATATACATATCTAGGAATATCTAGGAATATCTATATTCCTAGATATATATATATAGATATATAGATATATATACATATATATACACAGAGAGAGAGAGAGAGAACCAGCCATGTATCATGCCTTTCTATAGAACATAGAAAATAAGATAGCCGAAACCATGCTATCCTGTACATCGTGGATGAGAGTCAGGGAAACAAGAAAATGAATTTAAAAGATGATTCCCAGCAGTGATGAGTGTATGAAAAAAGGTGAAGGACTGGGGAGTGGAGTGGTCATGGAATAGGAATGAATGACAGGGAAGCCTCACTGAAGAAAGGATGTTTGAACAGACTCCTGCTCAGTCACATAAATATGAGAGAAGAAAATACCAGTCAAAGGGATGAGAAAAGGCAAAAGCTCAAAAGCAGGAACAAACTTCATTCATTTGAATAACAGAAAAATGGGCTTTTGTGTCTGCAACAGAGCTGGGAAGGGTGGGTATGGGCAAAAGAGGAAGTTAAGAAGGGAGGGTTCAGATGCCATGAATCTTTCATATATGATCTTGTAGTATACTGCCCAATAACATGCCCTGAACATTAAGAGTGCAGGGGATGCTGTTAACAACATCCAGATACAGGTATGAACCAGGAACTTCCCATGCACACCGGGCACGTAAGTTTATTCCACTGACATGCCAGGGTAAGGAGTTTGAATTTCATTCCAGTATAGATCTGAGCCCTTAGATGGTTTTCATCAGGAGAGTAATATAACTTTGCTTTGCATTTTCATATGTGAAGCTTATAATTTCTGGACTGCAAGATCAATTTTAGAGGTTAGTTATATAATCCTGACAAGAAGTGGTAGCAGCTTGAATGGTCATAGTAGAGCTAAAAAGAAAGTCACTGACTGATAATATATTTGGACATAGTACAGACAAGACCTCTCATGGGTCTTTTAGATGCAGAGGATAGGGAGGTAGAAGAATAAACCTAGTGACTGCTGGGTTTCTGACTCCAGCCTCGGGGTGAATTGTGATTCCATTTGTCAATTGTGGAAAAACTAACAAAGAATCATTTTGGGGAAATGATGGGGAACAGCAGTCTGTTTTTATTAAATTTGGGATTCTTGTTACAAACACAAACAGCTGTGATGCACTGTTTTTACTCCATTCTGAACAGCTTTCTTGCAAAGTTTTATGTATCTTCAATAAAACTATTTAAAATGATGTTCCAACATTTTGTTTAAGTGATTTTATACTTACCAGCTCCCATTTTATTTTGTCTTCACTATTTGGTGTTTGAAATTGTTAAACTTATCAATTTGCTTTCTAGGAAAGTATAGATCTGGGTGAAATCATGTTTTCCTTATGTTACTTGCCAACTGCTGGGCGTATGACCTTGACAGTCATCAAGTGCAGAAATCTGAAGGCAATGGATATTACTGGCTCATCAGGTATGTATACATTTGGCCCACAGCCAAGGGCGTATTCACAAATAAAATATGCCATATATCTAAAGTTATAGATGGCTATAGTAGTGAGGTACAATAAAAGTAGAAGAGATTATAAATTAAAAATAAAAGTAGAAGAGATTATAAATTAAAATGTTCTTTTGTATATATTATCATTATGAAATCTTTAAAAGTTATTATCAAAGATATTGACTTTGAACTTGGGTTCTCATTTTCTTTTTCTATTAACCTAGTTTCATAGAAATGAAATGTTTCAAAAATGCATAATTAACTGTCTGCTCCCCCACTTTCAGCTAGTGAATTGTAGGGAAAGATTTTTAGACTTTAAGCTGCCCTATAAAGGCACATTTTAGATTGAATTTATTTCCTTCACCTGACTGCAGAGAAACAACCATGTTCCAAAACCACCACTGGCATTTGCATTCTTGTCATCTTTACAACTAAAATTCTGGGCATGTGTAGGAACTGCAAGAAGCAATATAATAAATTAATACTTCTTGAAGTTCTTAAAGAAATTCTTGCAGAAAATTTCTCTTACACTAACCCTGATATAAAGAAGAAGCCACAGAATTCTCTGTTGTCCCTGAAGTTCTAGGGGATTATTTATGACTTAAGGTGTTAACTTTGGTACAGATCTGTGGAGAAAAATGATAAGGGAAGAACAGGGAGGTCAGTTAGTATTCATTGAATTAAACAGAAATAAGAAATAATAGTGGAGATATATAGTAAAGGATGACATTAGGGAGGAAGACCTATAACTTTGTGGTTCTTTAGAACAACTACAACAAAAGAAATGCTAAATTCTGGTGTGGAAAGAGCTCCAGGATATACAAGGCACAAGAATATGTGTGTATAGTATGCTCACTTCTATGAAAGACTGGAGAGTTTTAGAACATAAATTTATATTGACAATATTTACATAAAGAAATAATGAAATGATAAAAACCAATGGGTAAAAAGTGATGGGGACAGATTGGAGGGAGACTTCTTAGTGTAAATCTTTCTGGACCAGGCATGGTAGCTTAAGTCTATAATCCTAGCTACTCAGGATGTGGACATAGGGAGGATCTTTGCTTGAGGCCAGCCTAAGCAAACCATTTGTAAGACCCCTATCTCAACTGATGACTGGGCGCAGTGGCGAGAAACTGTCGTCCCAGTTATGCCTGGAAGCACAAATAGGAAGATTACAGTCCAGGCCAGCCCAGGCATAAAGGAGAGCCTGTCTCAAAAATAACCAAAGCAAAATGAGCTGGTAGAGTGGCTAAAATGGTAAAGCCCTTCCCTAGCAATCACGAAGCCCTATACCACCAAAAGAAAAAAAAAAAAAAAACTTTCTCTAACATCTGATTTTTTGAACTATGTCATAAATCACTTATTCAATTTTAAAGTTTTGCAAAACATTGTATGCAGATAAAGCTAGAAGAGCAAGTAAATTCCACTTTTATTTTGGTGAAAAAATCTTGGGTCAGTATGTGTTGAAGAATTTAAGAAAAACAGTGTACTCTGCAAATTATTGTTTATTCTACTCTTTTTACCATGTATCAAAAGAGATCAAATTTTGAGACAAGCAAACAGCACTAACATTGTAATTAAGTGCAAGACTACTTTTTATGTAGATGAGCTTTTCATGGGAGAGCCTGTGCTTTGAGAGCCTCCTCATTAATCCTCACAACAGGCTGATGAATCAACTAAGGACCCAGTAAACTGTCCTCAGCAAACACAGAGCAATGCAGTCAGAGGCAAGATGGGGTAGCAGATAACAAAGTCTGCCTTGTTCTCATTGTTAATAGGTCTGAGGGTTCATACACAAAACCATATCACAGAAGTGGGTTTCTAGAACGTACTTCCTATTACTACATTTTTTAAAATAAATGGGAATCAGTATTAACATTGCTCTGTTACCTTGTTCTTTGTATACACTATTACCAAACACAAAATACCTTTTGTTCCTTGACAAAATTCTTTTGAAATATACAGATACATTTTTCTATAGCTTGAAAAGCACACACTTAGGGCTGGCAGAGTGGGTCAAGTAGAGCTTCTGCCTAGCAAGCATGAGGCCCTAAGTTCAAGCCCTAGTACTGCAAAAAAAAAAAAAAAAAGCACACACCTGCTCAATAAATTTATGTTGTCATCACTTTGGCTAATTCTAAAGAAATAAAATTTATGTCTATAGAAATAGAGAAAAAGAGATAAAGAGATAACAGTGCTATAAAGCTGGAGAGTGGCCAGGAAAAAGAAAGGAAAGTAAAAGAAGACAGAGCAGGTATGGATAATTTTAAACTATCTGGCCCATACCAAGGCCAATACCCACTTCCCAAAACCACAGCCTTCTTAGAAACTATTGTATAATGCTGTTTAATTTCTTATAACACTATAATGGTTTTCCTATTTAAGACAGTAAGGGTAAGAGAGTAAGGATCAACCCAACTGAGGAAGACCTTATTAATAACTATTTGATCTCTTGAGCCCATGAAAACATAGTCAACTGAATTTGTCTCTTTCCAATTGACACTGTATAGATTCTGTCATATCAGAACTTGCCTTGTGACATCCTAAAAATATATCACTTTATCATATACTGTGGTGCACTTAACAAATTATTTTTAGCAATCAATCTTTCTAATGAAATTCCTTATCAAGCATCAACACTGTGATACTTCTAATTTTAGTACCCTATATAACAGTTGGAGAAAAGTCTAAGTATAATTTACTTTTTCTTTGCATTTCTACTCGATTATAAATGCTCGTCTACATACAATGTTACTAAGTCTTTGACAAACCTTAGTTTTCTTATTCTGAATCATTGTTAAGGAAAGTAACCTGAAAACAATTATTTTTATTTGTTAGGATTACATGCTCCATAAATCACTTCCAACAAAATAAATCCTCAAGTAGCTGTGGCTGAAAGACACATTTCAATTCTGGACTAGCTCTTATTAAGCTAGTAGGATTTCTCTCCTAAATTAAAACCAGTGAGACCAAATTAATTCTTTTTTAATTCATTCAAAATAAATTGCTTACTTTTAAAACAAGTCTTAGAGACTTGTCCTCAAATAAGTCATTTCAATGTAAAACTATTTTACTAAAGGAGTTACATCACTTTTCTTATTTAGAAAAAAATGAATTATGGTTTTCTTAAGCTTAGTATGAATACTCATATTAATAAAATTGCCTTCCTTCTCCTAGATCCTTATGTCAAAGTGTCTCTGATGTGTGAGGGTCGAAGATTAAAAAAGAGGAAAACAACTACAAAGAAAAATACTCTAAACCCTGTGTATAATGAGGCCATTATTTTTGACATCCCTCCAGAAAATGTGGACCAGGTCAGCCTCTCCATTGCTGTCATGGATTACGATAGGTATGTGCATCTCTCTACTCTCTGAAGAACAGTCACGTCTAGTCATTTGCCAGGCAAACTTAGCTTTGCAGGTCCTTTGAAGGTCATTAAAATGGCAGGGGAAAAAATGATTAATTTGAAACACATTGTTTTGTTATGTTATAGTTTTGGGTCTCACCGCTCCCCCCATTCCAGTCATTCTTAAAATTCTCCTGAAACTGGAGGAAAAATGTGTCTAAAAGTAATATGAAGTACATTATAGATTAAAAAAGAAACCTATTGTGAAGTCCTTATACAGTAATAACAGAGACTACAATCAACTGTTTGGCCAGTGGGACTATAATATCCTATATATGAATACCGTGGTGCTTATTTGGCTGTGTGGGAGGGCCAGTTATGTCACCTCTTTGGGACTCCACTTCTCACATTGGTGGAAGTTTAGCATGATATGGAACTGTAAGCAATAATTAAGAATGGGAGGTGAACAGTGGCCATAGGAGATGGCTTTGATGCTTTCAGTCAATCTTAAAACATTACTTTGTTGATACCTCTTCCAGTTCACGCACTGTGCTTGCTCCTTTCATAAAATAAGTTGTAGAGTCCTTTTGCTGTTCTTTGTGCACAGCTCTGACCTTTCCTTTCCCACTCTTCCCTTTGAAATGTTCCCCACTTTGTGCGTCTTGTCCAACCCAAGCTTCGCAGACCTGCTCATGTCAGTACCCTGCAACTTTTGGTGCTGTCCAACCCCTTCCTCTGCCCTTTGGTCCCACTGAAAGTTCATATCTTTTATTTCTTACCATATATTTCTTTTTATTGTTTGCTTTTTGTACTTGCAAATGTTTTGGAAAAGGAATACTTCATCTTTAACCTGATAAAAAAGTTATCAGCACCAAAATAGTTCCCCAATACATTTACTTTGTTCTTATGAGGACACAAGTGGAATAGAATATACATACATAAAGCACAAAAAGAATTCCATTTTATAGTATCAGGAACATGGTAGTAACTAGGACGCTATAACCTAGAGAAATTAATGTGCCATCTTCTGGCTCAAAGTTAGAAAAAGAAAAGACTGAAAATAAAATGATTGCAAGATTGGTTTGAATCTCTACCAAAGGAAAAAAAGCCTGTAATGATTTAGAGAGAGAGAGGGAGATCTTGAATTAGCTCTCATTTCATACTCTAAAAATTTTATTTTCATCAATGGCCTTATTTTGCTTTATCTGTTCCACATACTGACTTCTCATGCAATGAGTTCAGGTAGATTTAGTTGAGCATTGGTCACCTGAGCAATGTCAGGTGGATCTTAATAGTATACAATGTAGGAAGATAAGAATTATTCTAAAATGTTCTTTTTTGGGAAACTTCATATTGACAGAAATGATACTAAAAATGCTGATCTAAATTAGTGATGGGAAGAAAGTAATGAAATGCCCTACAGTCATCTCAAGAGTCTCTTTAGAGGTATCAAACTAAAGGCTAGCCCAGGAAAAAAGGTAGCAGGACCCCATCTTAACCAGTATGTGGGTTCATGCTTCTAGCCCTAGCTACATAGGAGCCCTTCCTTCATAGGTAGAAAGATTACAGTAGGCAAATACGTGAGACACTATCTGAAAATTACCTAAAAACAAAAAGGGCTGGGGGCACGGCTTAAGTGGTGGAGTGCTTACCTAGCAATCAGGTAGCCCTGAGCTCAAACCTAAGTACAGCCAAAAAAATAAATACAAATCTATAGAAATTCCTTCAAATTCTGTTCTGTCTTGAGAAGCAGCTTATCACAATGTGTTATTGAGTCAACTTCCCTTATTCAACTCCCGCCTCTGCTTCTTACAAAATGTGTGAAGTTAGGCCGGTTCCTGACCTTTTGGGCACTTAGTTTATTTATCTATAAAACAAGATGATAATGGTTAAATTCATGGCCATGAGGTAGGATTAAGTGGGTCCGTTCATTTTGGTTTCTTAGACTACCACCTGGCACATAAGAAACTCTCAGAACATTAGCTATTACTATTTTTTATTTGTCATTATGAAAGCAGAACACGCATAGAAAATAGGTAGGTTACCCACTCTGCTCTCTGTTACACAATAGCAAGTCAGACACCGTGGGACTGCCTAACCCTCCCCTGTTTAACTGTAGTACCCCAGTGGTAAAGTACACTGGCATATCATTTAGACTCAACTAAACGTAGTCTTTTACACAAGAAAGCGAGTACAATGCTCTTGGTGTGAAATTTAAGCATCATTATAAAACATTAAGCCTCCTGGGAAGAATAGGGTATGATTCACATCATTTAAATTTAATAGGACTGCTGCCAAGAAAGAAGCACATATAGGGAAGAGTGTACTGGCATTTTTATTATTGTGAAATGGGCTGAAAGTGCAGAGCACTTAAAGGGTTTGTGTGTGTTTCTTATACAAGCTCATTTTTGGATGTTAATATTGTTTAGTTGATTGTTATTTGCTTAAGTTTTTTCATTTGATCAGAAGTGCTATACAACTATCCCTCCCCCATTCATGGGTGATATGTTCCAATATGTTCCATACATGACTGAACCCAAGGATAGCTCTGAGCCCCATATACACCATGTTTTTTCTTACACGTGCATACCAATGATAAAGTTTAATGTATAAATTCGTCATAGTAAAAAATTAACAATAACTAAAACAGAACAACCACAAGTATATAGAATATTAAAAGTTATTTTAAGCTTATGAATTGTTTATTTCTGGAATTTTCCATTTGATATTTTCATAAGTAACTAAAACCACAGAAAGTGACACAATTGATAAGGGAATTACTATAATCTCCAAAATCACAGAATCTAGTGTTTTAAGGATGTGTTTGCAATTCTACTAAGATATGTGAAATTACACTTACCTTGAATGTTGCAAATGAAAATATAATATTCTACAAACTGTAGGGTGGGACACAATGAGGTCATAGGCGTGTGTAGAACAGGACTAGATGCTGAGGGTCTTGGGCGAGACCACTGGAATGAGATGCTGGCCTATCACCGAAAGCCAATAACACACTGGCATCCCTTGCTAGAGGTAAGCCTGTGACTTCTGAAGTTTATCTTTGTCATTATTTATCTGCAAATTTTTGTCTGATATTTTATGTATCACCTTTTTCAATATATTGCTCTTGATTTTGTCCCAATGTCTCTAGCATCTTGTATTCTGTATTCATATTCCTGTGTGTCTTGTGGGATTTTAAAAACCACTAATTTCTGGACTTTGTGTTCAATAAACCCATAAACACTGCAGGTCTATCATCTTTGCATGGTCTGAAAACTTGCATCAGTGAGCTGTAGAGCGATCTAGTGAATTTATTACTAACTAGGAACTGAATTTTGGTGCTGCTCTTTTGTGAAAAGAGCCACTTTACCTTGTATTCAAGAATCCTTAGTGTACATTCACCTGATAACTCTTCTATGCAGGGAGCAAGGATTACCCCCACCCCACCCCAAACTCAGATTTTTAAATACCAAGGCATCAGTTTACCTGAGTTCAAGGCCTGGCATTGCTGTGTGACTACTTATTTTGAAAACTTGGGCAAGTTACTGTAATCTAAGTTTCTGCTATGACTCTGTAGTAGATGTAAACTCAGAGTGAAACTAAATAAATCTTAATGTGTCAGAATATGGCACAGCATTAACTCTTATTGTAACTGCTATTAACAATTAGCTTAAACAGAGGAAGTATGAATGCCAGTTTTCTGTCGGGCCTTTTAGTAATGGAGTTAGATTTCGATCTACTTGGCACCCTGTATGTGGCTTGGTTGAATGATTTTCTTTCCCAGTTACAATTGATGGAACCTCTTGACTCAAATTTACCTTGTGACTGCAAGTGACCTGATTAAGAGGTAATTCAAGTTTACAAAAGAGTATGGGGTAGATGACAAGTTTTATGTATATCAATAAAAAGAACAGTTGAAGTAACCATACAGTAAATAAATCATAGATATATTGACCATCTTCCTCTGGAAAGATTCTGCTTCTTGCTTTGCAGTAGGGTTGAAAAATGGGGGAGGCTGTGCCCTGTAATTAACTGAATGCATCAATGGGACCAGATTATAATCTCAGTTTAGTCACAAAAATGTGACCTTAGCTGTGTTACTCAAGACACTGTAAAGAAAATTGAATGAACACTGCATGCTCAGAGAGATGAACCGTCATCACAGATACCAATTGAAATATGAATGTTCCAAGTTTTTGCCTGACTTCAAACTTTAATGTAAATCAGAAAAGACAAAGATGTACACATAGAGCATTCACATGCAGTTTCACAAGTAGAGACAGGTGTATCTCTGAGTAGCTCAACAAGTTTTGAAAAGTATGTATCATTTCAGCAGTAGCCATTATCTAAAGTATACTCCACTGTTTATTGTATAATTACTACCCTTTCCCATATTTTTTTTTAAGTTTGGAAAGTAAACATTAATTCTAAGAATCTAGAAAGAAGAGTGAAGTTTTTCGGGGAATGTACCCATACTGAATACAGATATGGGCTCCAGTTTTGTTACTCTAGCTGCCTAATCTTAGGCAGGCCATGTGTCCCTACAGGATTCATGGGGATGATGAAGTGAGACAAGAAGTCATGTGAGCAAGAATTATAACTAAGAGTTAGGGGTGTAGCTCAAGTTGTAGATCACTTGCCTAGCAAATGCAAGGTTCTGAATTAAAATCCCAGTACCACCAAAAAAGAAAAAGAATTTTGACTAAGGTGGAGAAAGGCACTGTATAACCTGAGGCATATCAATTATTGACAAATGTTTAATAAGCAGCTATAAATTTATCTGATGAATGGTGGCTATGGAGTAGGCATGTGTTCATGTATAAGAACACATAAGCCAAACTCTTTTCAGTCATGACAGGATGCACAGGACGATATGCTACCACATAGGCATCAGAAAACAATCCCAGATATTTTTCTAATAACAGAATATGAAAGAGCAAGTGGGACTAAAAGATTATATAGATGTCCTTTCTTCAAATAACTCCTTTTTCCTCACCCCTACTCCTGTATTCATTAGTCAAACAGAATCTATGGACTACGGACCCAAGAACTGACTGAATTTAGAGCTGGGTAGGACAGAGTTAAAGCATCATTAAGAAAAACTAGTTAGTCCACCAAAAAGTTTATTATGTTATAGTTAAACTTTTTAAATCTACATAGAAATCTAAGGATCATGAGAAATTATTCTTCCTCACTCAAGGCTCCCACGGCCAAGCTCAGTCAGTCTTCTCACCTCCTGCCTCAGCACAAATGGAACACAATCTCTTGTGTGGAACCTCTTACTGCTCTTACCTAGCAATTGCTCCCACTCTAGCACACCATTATTTTATAAAAAGAACTAAAAAATATGTCATAAAGTGTGAAATTATTTGCATTCATAAATAGTTGCTGTGCAGTGCAACTCTGTGTACCATCTTAGCATACATCTCTACGAAATGTTTGTGTCCCCTCATTCTACCTGAAAAGGTAAGTTCTAAAGTATAAGGGAATTGTGTAAATCTTCTCTTCTGAGATTTGCATATTGTAAGTGAATATGTGCTATTAAAAATCCAGTGAATTACTTTTCTCCACTAGATAATGTATTATGAAATTATTGTCTTTCAGTTACCTGGCCGGGCAACCAGTTTTGATAGTCAAGGATCCTGTTCTTCTCCTAAACCACCTTCCACACCATAATGCCTCCAAAAGAAGACCCTGATAAGAAGGACCTAGGACCATGTACCCATTGGATCAGAAAAAAATAGTGGAAGGTTTTATTTCCTCATTTAAAATATATCCATGGTAATGAACAAACTTGATGTGCAATTATTTCATTTCCATTTTCATCTGGTTTTTTTTGTCTGTTTAACTTTGAACATTCTTAATACATCTTACTTGAATATAAATAGTCCTTAGTTACATAAGACATTTTATCCTTAATGTCATATGCCTATTAGCACAGAGTGTTTTAATATGTTGTAATTCTTTGCATAAGCAAAGAAATAGTTTTTTAAAAAAACAATAAGAATCCATATGCATCTAAAATTAAATATAGTTTATGTTGCTATGGTATAAAGTAGCACATCACATATGTATGGATTTGATCTTGTTACAGCTGTGTTCACTTCCACTTGTGCACATGGTTTTATATAAACTTTAATGAACATTTTTAAACTTAACTCACGCAGCATCAAGTGTTGCACATGCAAATTAATGTTACCTATCTAATAATGGTTTTTCTTTCATTCTCAGAAAATTTTTTCTTGGTGAGGTTTGGCTCTGCCATACTCAAAACTTTGTCTCTCAAGCTTATTCTTTAAAACATACAAAGAAAGCTGTAAATTTGAAGAATCATTTTGAATATAAATTTAAGAAGTGATATTTAGTAGCTGCAAAATGAAGATTGAGCCATTTGTGCTACCATTTTATACTCTCACCATCACATAATTCAAATATCTGTTGCATTGTTTAACTGACATTTTAAAAATCCTATTGGTCTTACTCTCAAGTGTTGCATCATTGGTGAATAGAATTAGGAGTTCACTTTTTTCCTAAGTGTTTGTAATGTTCTCAAGTACTGTGACAGGTACTATTTTGTGATCTGAAGCTATCATGTAGATCCTAAATTTCCAATAGATCACCCTTGACACCAAAGGTACAACTGTCTGTGGTCATTATCATTTAGATTATACAAAGTAATGACGACTCCTACCCAATCAGAAGCTCAGCAGTGGAATTGGGTATTTTCTTAAAGAAAGCATGACTTATTTTTCAACAAACTAGAGAAACATATCACAAGTAATACAACTTCCACATTTAATAAAAATAAGCAAATTAATTCCAATGGTCCAGACCTTCAGTCCTTTCATGAAAGGCATTTTCCTTCATAAGGATCAAGGATCAGGCCACCAGATGTAAAAACTATGCAAATGTTTTTACAAGACAGAACTTTCTTTTAAATCATGTCAACTTTTTATTGTCTCATTTCAAGCCCTTATTGGAAGGTATTCTGTATTAAATTACTGCAACCTTATTTTTGAGATATGCATACTTCAAGATTATTCCAAAATAAGAGGTTTTTAAAAAGCAAGAAAATTTATACTTGGAATATAAAAATATTAAGAGGAGAAAATTTTATCAATAATTATGAAAATTTTATTTCATAAAATCTCTTATTTCTGAGTACTAAAACTAAAATTTAAAAACCCTGGAATTGTGTTTGCTGACATCTCTCAAAATGAAGGAATCATTGTTAATTAAGATGTAAATATTTTTCATGTTAACATTTTACAGGCAAACAGTTCTACCTAAAATTTTTCAAGAACACTTGTACCATTGTAATGAAAAAAAACTATTCCTAGCTAATATTTTCTCATTGAAAAATAATAGGAGAAACCTGCTTGAAAATATTTGGCTACGTTTCAAGACTAAAAGAACACTTGCTATAGTCAGAATGACTAAGATAATGATTTTGGATCTCTTTGTTTCACTGGGAAATAAAATTTGTCAAATAGGAAGATAAAACTGAACACCTAATATATTATAATTGTTTTATTGTAGATATAGCCTAATGCAAACAGACAAATACATTCCCTAAGTGAGTATAATATGTATTTTCACCCCAAACTATATTTTATGGAATTATTCCATCCTTAGAAACATACTTTTCTTATTTCCTAAGGAGCAAAAGCCAATGCTTGTGATGAATAAACGTGAACTATCAGGGAGCCAGGAGAGTTTATATAAGGATCGTAGATTAAAATAAGTTTTTTAAATTAGTTTTTAAAAGTCAGAAACTTTTTCTCTAGGGATTAGAGTAAACTCATAATCACAGAGTATTTGTTAATCCTGCAAAAGAGATTAGGGGAGGAAATTCACAATGCTTCATCTTTCATGTAATATGTGAGGAAGTTACCCTCAGATTGATAAGGCAAAATCACGAGGAAGGAGAATTCATATTGTAGTTGTAGTCCTACCACGTCCTTATCCTACACATCCAGACACATAACTTGTCTTCTTTCTGCTTGTGACTGAAGTCGAAATGTTTTTAGTTTCAGTATTTAAAACAGGACTTGATGTACGAAATATCCGCCACTAATTTGGGTGGGATGCTACATTTTACTGACAGTGTTGACACATTATAAAGTTGTAATTTAGGTATATAGTGAATACCTAGTTTCAGGGATTTATTCAGGGACTTACCAAAATATAAGTCTAGGAAAAAGATCAAGTATTGATTCATTAGCATAACAGCACTGATATCACTAATGTTCTTTTGAATTTTTCAGTTTTATTGTTGCTGTTTTTACCTGACATGCCACCAATCAGAGGAATGAGCAAATTGAATGTGAAAAGAACATAATGGTTATAGAGTGCACAATCTTTTCACAAAACTTAATCTTAGCCAAAAGTTCAAGAAGTGATCACTGGCTTCTTGATAATATTTTTCTTGACAATTTTAATTTTCCTTGTCAGGCTAGCCTCTGTTTCTGGTACCTTATTTTACATTTTTAGTTCAATAACAAATACCATTAGGACTAGTGCCAGGGGAGTACAAATGGAAATGGAGAGCCAAGCACTCGTGTTTTCATGCATTTTTGTGGAGTACATGCATATTCTAGTCACTGCAGGGAGATCACAAATGATCAATACTGACTCAGGTTTTATATTAAAGCAAATGCATTTGAACCTCTTTGGTTGTGATATTTAATTGACATTTACAACTGTGTTTATTTTCCTATAATGCTTATTATTTTAAAATTTTGCAGAATCAATAAATAGCTATCAATCTCTTGAAGTCTTCATTTAATGGTTGGTGATTTCAGAAATGAAAAAGCCAAACTTCCATTCTTGTGTTACCTTTACTATCCATAAAACAAAATATGACTTACTTCAGAATGAGTTACCCCATGAGCCAACGACTATTACAAATAAAGGAACACAAGCTCTTAGCAATGTACACGTGGCTCACACATGTACATTTTCTTTAACTCTTCAAAAAAACTACTTCAGATTATGTAAAAACACATATTTTCATGGAATGGAATTGATCTGATTTTTTTTGCCACATTAGTTGAGATTATAGCCAGGTAATATAATTATCTGAAAATTAGAAAACTCAGGCTAGTAAGGATTTAAGGAAGTCCTTCAACCTCAACTAAATTTAAATAAAATGGGAGATCACTTTCCATCACAACCTGTGGCAACTTCACTTGTTGTGGGGTACTCTAATTGATCTTAACTTTTATAATATTTAAGCTGAAACTATATCTCTCTATGTCAAGGAGAAATGATTCAAAAAAATGAAACCAAAATAATAGATAGTAAGCATCTACATAATTAAGTGATGGTTAAGCAAAACTGTTACATATGAAAATAAAGATACAGACACAAGAAATAAAATCCTTTGTATGTTAACTCTTATGGACAGTACATCCTCTAACATTGCTCAAGAAACTACTCCATGACATGCCATTTAATAGTTACTCAGTGATGCGCTCAGGATATGATTCATCTGAACCTGTGGTAAGGACCTATCATTTAGAAGAAAATAATGAGTCTAATATTTCACATGAGACACAGACTAATTAAACAGAATGTGGTTTACAATATGTTATTCAGTGACACCCTTTTAGCTAAGAATTTTCTTTCATTAAAAGACTTCTATATTCAATATTCTGTTAATTAACCTGAGTGGTAATTTGATAAAAGATGTATTGGTAATTGCTTGTTATCTGCCATGTATATAGTCAACCAAAAAGATGTGTATTTGAACAGTGGCATTTAATGTTACACTCAAGTGTATTCTCATCAAAGTAAAAAAATACTTTCCTTTTCACCATGTTCACCATGAAAATAAGAAACCAAGATTTGACTTGGGAGCATAACAACATTGTGCCACAGAAACATCAGAGAATGAATCACTAAATTAGGAGCTTAGGCGGGACTTAATGATTTATTGAGTGCAAACATTTTGAATACTAGAAACAGTGATTGAAAAAGAAGTAGAAGTCACTTAAGAGAAAGGATATGTGTCTTCATGCCTGAGATGATTTAAACATACTCCTGCCAGAAGGCATTGGTTATATTAATTCTGTCTTTAAGTATACTTAGACACTGGAAATGACTTTCTATTGATAGATATATTTACAAAGAAATATTTTAATCTTGAACCTACTATAATTTCTTCTATAAACTCACCTGGGTATACGAAACCACTATAAAAAGTAAAACTATGCCTAGAAAAATAGCCTTTTTTTTTTTCGGTGCTGTGTTTGAACCCCAGGTCTTGTGCATACTGGACAAGTGTTCTACAACTTGAGCAACATCCCTAATCCCTTTGGGTTTGTTTGTTTGCTGTTTTTGAGACAAGGTCTCACCACTTCCTTTGCCTGGGCCAGCCTCAAACTTGTGATCCTTCTGCCTCTGCCTCCCAAGTAGCTGGGATTATAGGAATGTACCACCATGCCAGGCTAGCCATTTTTTCTCAAATTTTATTAAGTTGATCTGCTGTGCACAGGACCCCTGTATTTACTATATAGGAGAGTGAACTTAAGTTATTTAATTTCATGTTTATTTTCCTCAAAAATATATATTGTAGTTATGAATCAAAAACTGTTAAGAAAAATAAATCTCAATGTTAAAAGGTTAATGCATTGGATATTCAGTTTTGTTACTTCTTCAGATTGGTTTTTGTTTTCCCCATCTGGGTATCAATTTAGGGAATAATATTTGACTATGATTTTGCTATAGAATAAAATTTGAAGGCCCCCAAATAATTATTATCCTTAATATTATGTACAAACTGGCCAACTAATCATCCTTTATAAAAAATTACAGAGTTTACTCTATTTCTATGTAGATTATCTCGGTTCTATTTTAAGTTGTTTTTTCTTCTAAAACATCCTTTAGGTTATTCATTTAAAGATAGTAGTAGTCTCCATTGTGAAGAACTTCATAAATTCTATTATTGAATAATTAAGAAACAGGAAGAACAACTAATATACAAAATATTTGCATTTGTAGTTTGTTTCATAAACAAAAAGTCCAACACCCAAGTTGATGTCATTAACATTAACTTGTTATTGACTCTTCCAACTGAAAAGTGATTGAATTCATCTGCAAATTATAGAAAAATTACAGAACACAATCAAGTGAAATCTTTTCTGAATGAAGAATAAAAAAAGTCAAGCTAGCAGAGAAATGTCTCACATTATAAGCGTGATGATTCTACTATTCCTCTCACAAATAGATATTTGTCAGGAACAACTAAAATCCTTCAT